ACACACAAACGTTCTCCCTTTCGCTCGCTCTCTCACAATCGCCACTGCGCGTCGGCCGCTCAAGCACTGACTGCTCACTCTCTCTGCGCTCAAGCTCAAGATCGCTACTCGCAATTCTCTCCAAGGTCAGCCAAGATCCTTGCGCAACTCGTCTCCGCACTCTCTACTCTCACTGCAGGTCGCTCCGCCCTTGCGCGTAATCTTGGAAACTGGAAATCGCAAAGTCAAGAATGAGAGAATGAGACTGGAGCGCAGTCTTTTCTTCTCCGATTTCAAGAACGTCCAACGTTCTTACTGGTTACAACGTACGCAGCCGGCTATACGGCTTAACGGTTCGCCCTTTGCATGCGCGAATTCACGTCTCCGCACTGCGCGCATTCGCATGCGTAAACGTTGAATTCTCCCGCCGCCGCCACCTTCCGGACTCGAGTCCGCTGCAGGGTATACGTCGGCCCTGTTGTCTTTTCCTAACCCGTCCCTCACCGGAGGCGTGTCTCCGCTGGTGCGTTCATTATCCGTCGGCGCCTTGCTGGAGGCGCACATCTAGTCGGAGCGAATTACGCCGGCGCGCAGTCGTACCGCTTATTTTGTCCTTTATGCCTCGTCCGTTGCTGCCGGCGCATATCCGCCAGCGCAACTCATGCCAGCGCATCCGGCCGTCAGCGCCACGTCGGAGGCGTACATCCGACCGGCGCTTTCCTTCCATGAACAGCCGCCAAAGGCGCTTCCAACTCTGAGTTGGTTTCCTCCTATGAGCGCGTGATTCCGCCGAAGGCGCATCGCCGAGGGCGTACGGGAATCCTTTCCGGCTGTGAACCCTAGCGCGAACGGCGCATGTCCGGCTACGAGTTTTCCGACGCTCATAACTTCTCCATTCCTGATCCATCTCCGACGCTCTTGGGCTCGTTAGAACGAGCGTCCCGAGCTCTTTCTAATGCAACTTCAACCAACTGGATCTACCGTGTATCCCGATTGTTATGAAGGTTTCCCCTTTCCGCGCTAGCGGCGCTTCGTCGAAGGCGCACTCATGGTCGGACGCCTTTAGAGGTCCGGGCCCTTCTCCTGACGTCTTTAGCAAAACCTCCTCCTGAGGTGTCTGCGCCGGAAGCGTAGCTTCCTTATACGCTGGAGGCGCGTGAGTAGAGACACCTCCGAAAAGGAGCTTTTGCCGAAGGCGCCGAAGACATTGGCGTTGGTACATCCGACTACGTGAGTCTTCGTGTCCTCGTGACGATCTCATCAATCCACTCTATTTAACGTACCCTTTTCTAACTACAAACACTGCTTCGGTACTAGTTTTCTAAAATTGTTTAAATTCTGCAAAAAAAACAAAAAGTGTGTTACCACATGGGCACATAACCTCTTACACTCATCACGATGTAGGGCAGTGGATGTTGGAAGGTGAGTCCATTGGGTTGCTGAGGACTACACCAAAACTAAGACTAAATACTATGTATGATGGTGTACGTAGCTCCAAAGTGGAATGGCAAAACACCAGGGCCGGTGTTAGAACACACTTCAAGAATCCCTAAGGCAAGGGCACCCTTCAAGTACCCCTAGGGCCATGACTACCACCCTACAAGACAAAATAAAACTAATCATCAAACCTAACAAAATGAGCATAGATAATATTTATGAAAATGTAAGGCCTTGCAATCAAGATCAATCAACATGCACAACAATCACAACAATGAGATAACATGATTCACAAGCTAGAGTAACGAGCAAAAGTGGAATCTTTTCTAAAGCACAAGTGTATACACAAACTCCATAGCCAAACTTTACTACTTCCTCACTATCAAAGTGCAACTTTGAACTGTACGTATTGAATGACTACTTCTTTCTACTATACAAGAAGAGATAAAGTGCACTGTAACCTCCAGACTCACTCTCACTCAAGTTTAACTCAGATAGCTTTTCGTAAGCTCATCATGATTTTAGAAGACTAGGATTTTTCATTAAACTCATATCACACATTCCTTCAATCCATCACTCACATTAACACACACATCGACATTTCAAGATGTTAAAAAATGTTATTCTTTTATATATGAAACAAGTCTCTACACATGAACTCTTTAAACTTGCTTGGGAGTATTTTTCTTACCTTGCTATATTATTTACATGAGAATTTACTAGAGCAACAAATGATATTTTTTATCTAACTTATTCTTACAAATTTAAACTATATTAAGTTACACTAGATACCAATGCGTGACAACATATCATTGGCATACTAAAACTTCTAGAAGTTTATTAATCTCTAGATTTAGCTGGTGACATGCCATTTGTGACTTTTCAACCTCTAGAAAATCCACTTGCCGCTAAGTCAACATTAGATTTGTCAAACCAATGAAGTCTTTATTAGTTAGTCAAATAAATCAAAACTTGATATGAAGTCAAAAATATTTTATCTTGAAATTTAAATTTTTGTACAAGACAAAATAAAAATGCTCATTAAAATACAAAAATTCTTTAGTTATTTTTCCAAGTATAGATATTATAACTTTACATAGGTATAACTAACTATATTTAGTCATGCTTAAGCTAACTATGAATAACTCCTTGGTTATTTATAGTACTATTTCACATATACAACAATAGATCATACCAAATAGAAGAAGCAAGTGTAGTATAAGTCTATGTTAGCTTCCAACAAGCAAAAGAAGAACTATCAAGAGTATGACGTGGGAACACTTGAGAAATATAATAAATTAAAACAATCCAAAATCAATGACAACGATGAGGAGGCGTTAGATGAGGATGATGATGATATGGACAATTAGTCATGCCATCTTATCAATATATGCAATGTTCGGATAGAAAATAAAACCCGCATATTTAGGAGAGTTGATAATCAACTTGTTTTGAAAATGCTTTGATTTCAGATTGTATGTTGGGTTAGAGTATTGAATTCAGTTATGTGTGAGAAGGAGTAGTGAAGATCATAGTATATTAGAAGTAGTTGTCATTTGATACTATATCAATCTTGATGTACATGCGTATTATGCATGATGTACACACGTATCATGCATAATATGGGATGCCGTTGAAACAGAAACCTGGAAAATGCATATGAGGATATCAAATCCTCTCAAGCATGTTTAATCTTCATCATCTCTAATAATCCATAATTTCCAAAAAGACTCTTGCCCCTTGTTTGATAATAGTAAATGATGCTTCTAATACATATTCTATTTTCATCAAATTAGTATCAATTCTTTCCTTGGAAACTATGCGATCTACCAAACGTCAAGAAAAAATATCCAATTTTTGTCTTCTAAGCTAAGTGTTATTTCAAACTCATCCAAATGTTCAAAAATTGTCTTCAATTTCTTCAAGTGCAAAGCTCAATTTACATAAAACCCAAAATCATGCATAAATATTCTTATCAAGTGTCTAAAGTGCGATTCCAATACTTTATCCATTACGCTTTGGTAGGTAACTAGAGCCTTGCAAAGTCTGAATGACGTTAACTCAAAAGTGAAGATGGTATTTACTTGATCTTCAGCAGCAATCCTCACTTGATGATATGCATTGTATGCATCCAGCAAAGTGTACAATTCATGCTCTCCCTTTCTATGAAACTTCGTGGTCAAATGGAATGAGATATCAATCTTTCTTCGTAATGCTATTGAACTTTTTGTAGTTCAAGCAAACCTTCAACTTTTCATGTTTTTAGGAGCAAAGGTGATTGGAGATATACATTTGATATCATCCAATGGTTGGATGAATCCAGCTTCTAGTAACTATTCCAATTTTACTTTCAACACTTCGACATATTTGGGATTCATATGGTAAGGTTTATGTCTTATAACTTTCACATTTTGATAAAGTTTAATATGTGCATGTCTAAAAATAATTCATCAAAATCCTTGTAACTGAAGGTAAAAAGATAATAAATTTATTCAACAGGTGTCAAAAATGTTATTGCTATTGAAAAGGTAATTTGGTCTTTAATCAAATTTGATTCAAGCACCATGCTATTTCGTCATTGGACAAAAGACTTCTTACTTCTTTGTTTTGCAAGTACTTGTCTTTGTGGCATAACTCCTCCTTTGGTGTTGCTTCAATTGAGTAAAATCCAACCTCATCATTCTAAACCCTACACCCCTAAATACTAAAATATAAGCTAAACCTTAAACCCAAAGTATCAACATAAGATGCAAGAGTATAATAACTTAAATGTATGTTTACAAGAAGCAAAAGAAGGAAGATGAAAAAACACCTCGAATAACTAAACCAACAGAAGAGGTCACCAAGTGACTTATGATCAACATCACCTCTCCAATTTGCTCGAACCATCCGTTTTGGTTAGGTACCGTATCCAATGATATAGGTGTATTATATATAACCGTGCGAGTGATGTATCGCCGTGCGAAGAACCGATGCAGCAGCAGCCTCGAGCAGTCGCTGGCCGAATCCGAATCCGAATCCGGAGTGAAAGAAGAGCAGATAAGGTTGCCTCGATGTAAACGTGTGTGTCCGACGCTCACAATCCATCCCGTCAACGCGACGCGACGAGCAGCTGATTATTAAATCCGATCCCCGTGGGAGTCGGGGCGTCGTGGGGCAGGTTCCGGGCTGTTTCTGTCCTGCCGGACGCTGACGCTGAGGCTGTCCCCAGCTCCGCAGCCGCAAAACTTGGCGAAATTTCCGAAAGCGAGAGTGGAACTGTGTGCTCGTGCGGCATCGATTCGCTTCATCGGCGGCTGCAGCTGCCTCCGCCAGAGCCCTGCAGGGCCGAGGCCACTGCTCGATCGTCGATCTTCCTGCAGAAATGGACTTTCTGAGTCCGCCGACATGCGAAGAAAGTCTCGCCTCGGACGGACGCAAACACACACCCGGGGAAACGTTTCTCATATGCTCCCCAAGTGGATCTGACTGACTGAGGGGCTGACTGAGTGACTGACGCTCTGAGCTCTGAGCAGAGATTCGACTGTATGCGCTCATGATCGAAGCGCATGCCTACACTTTGGCGCGTGCATCTGCTCCGATCTACGCATTGCGCGTACGCTGCTAGACTTTCGGCTCGGCTTCAAAACGGCTCGACGACATCAGAGCACACTCCGCTGTGCAGAGTTCACGACGCTCGCTCGCTTGCTTGTTCGTCCGGAGAGCCGGCTGGTGCGGATCGAGGGGAGGAAGCGAGGCGATAGGGGATCGATCGATCTGATCGTGAGTTAGGAGGAGCTGAAGTTGAAAAAATGTCGTCGGAGGAGGAAGTGAGAGACAAGGGAAGCAAGTCTGAGGAGAAAGACGACGGAGACGGAGGCTTTTTGGACAGGATTGGCGACTTCGTGAAGGATGTGGGAGAGAAGATCGCAGAAACCTTCAGCTTCGGGAAGCCCGATGCCGACGTCACGGGCATCAACATCCCGCACATCAGTATGAGCGAGGCGGAGATCGTCATCGATGTGTTGATCAAGAACCCGAACCCCGTGCCGATTCCGCTGGTGGATATCGAATACTTGGTCGAGAGTGATAAGAGGAAGCTCGTTTCCGGAACGATTCCCGATGCTGGTACCATCCACGCCCACGGTTCCGAAACCGTGAAAATTCCCATTAAGCTCAATTTCAATGACCTTTGTGATACCTTCGATGACATCAACCCAGGACAGATCATTCCTTACCTCTTGAGAGTGACTCTGCTCGTCGATATACCGATCATCGGAAGAATTAGCATCCCTATGGACAAGGAAGGCGAGATTCCCATTCCCGAGAAGCCGGACGTGGACCTCGAGAGAGTGAAGTGGACTCATCTGGATCTCGACGAGACCGAAGCCGTTCTCCACTTGAAAGTCGAAAACATGAATCCTTTCAAGATGGGAATCACCAAATTTGCATGCGACATCACTTTCGGCGATGTCTCGATCGGAAAGGCTACTCTGGGAGAGTCTAGTATGGTCACAGAGAAAGGCCCCAACGGCGAGAAAGGGATCGGCCGCTTGCAAGTTCCGATCACGTTCCGACCCAAGGACTTCGGATCGGCCTTGTGGGACATGATCAGAGGGAGGAGCACTGGCTACGCTCTGAAAGGAAGCATCGATGTGGACACTCCATTTGGTCCTATGCACCTGCCGTTTCTCAAGGAAGGAGGTAAGACCAAATTCCGAGGCGAGGACGAAGATGACGATGATCGCGATGACGACGAGTAAATGCACAAGAATGAAGGTGCGATATCATGTTTGTCTCCATCCTCACCTGGACACAATGTTGGAGACTGCTGTTTACATCTCTCAAGTTTCCTTGTATGTCCGAGGAATTAGAGAATTCATCTGTAAGTTTCAATGGTGGAAGAAGTAGGCAAGGACGCATGCACTGCCTATGTCCAGGATGGGCCCTCCCACCTTAACCTTAACTCATTGTTCTCTTCGCTCGTTCGGAGTTCTCTCTGCTTGACATGTTCTGGATCTCCACATCATGGCGATTTTTGTTGCGGAAATGTCAAGTCCAGAGAACATCGCCTTGTTATTTTTTTGTTAAAGTGTAAACGATAAACACCCCGCCGAAGAGCTGAGCTTAAACGGTGCAGTGATCCATATGATCAAACTTACAGAGAGACAATTACTGCAAATAGAGGAGAGTTTTAGCATCATAAATTATAGGCGCTGGAATCGGAGCTGAGTGTTGCTTTGAAGCTTGCAGATACGCGCAGCGCAGTTCAATTGCTCCTGGTGATTCGTTTGGGGCGGGACAGCATGAATCTTTGCCAAAACCGTAGCGATTCAAGGTCACACCGCTCGCTCGTGGTACGACGGAGGAGAACGGTACGATCCCCGTCAAGCAAGCAAGCGGGTCGTCTGCTAAACTTTAAGTACAGTCACGTAATGTAATGGCCGATGGGAGCTCCTCGGATCGCATTCGCTTGGGAAGCTCTGCACTCACTGGACAACCTCACGATTGTCGGACCTGCCGATCACAATGGGTCATGAGAGGACGTGATTGCGTGTAGACTTTACGATTCAGGGAGAGTTGTGATGTCTTTATGTGTACGGTGAATGTTCCCAAAGCCGCCCATTGTATAAGGCCCTGTACCATCGCGACATTCAGTGTACTAGAAAATTTCTATTCGCATCTGGAAAATTCTTTGAAATTATGCCCGACTGGATCCTGATGCTGGAGTTACAGGTCTTTATAAAGTCAATGCTCTCCTATTGCCACCCTTGTCTTTCGTTAGTGGTGGCTAGCACATTGGTGTTGAATGAATTCTCTGGTCATGCATCCATTGTCGAGGCTGATATGCAAATTCGACCTTATTACTTCGCCCTCGTTGGGAGCGAGCCACCTGTGCTTTTGAAGTCGGTCGGTCGAGTCTTTTGGTCATCAACACTCGAATCTACACGCTACGTCGTTGACGACTGGAGAGGCGGTTCTGGTTGAGCCACAGGTATTCCTTGTACAACCTCTTGTTTCGGATCAGTTCGTTCAAGTTGCAGCAGGTCTGGTGGGCCTTGCACAAGAAGACCTGGTGAAACCTGCTCCTCTTGTTCACTTTCACCCAACTCACGTTGCAGCTTTGCCCAGAGTGTGGCGTCGTTATAATCCTCTATGATCAAGCTCGCTCCTGCAGCCAGTAACGCTGCTTTTGGATGGCCGGTTGTGAGTCCCACCACTGCAATTTCTGCCGCTGCTCCAGCCTTGGTTCCTGCGGGCGAATCCTGGCAAGCACACTGGTTGATGAGTAGAAAGTAAATTAAGCACAGAGCCCTTTCTCGGAGAGTCCAAGAGGGCACACTGCGATTTCTCCCTGTCTTCTTTTCCTTTCCTCTGTCTCTGTCAAGCTTTACAATCAAGAGTACAGACATGTACAGATGTCGAAGACTTGGCGTTCTTATACACAAATGTAGATAAACAGCTTCAGCTAATACAGTCGTGTACCTATCAATGCAGACAGATAGATATGTACAGGACTATTTCATTTAATTTAGAGACGGGTTCAGTACTGCCGCCCATTGAAATATTTACGTGGCTTTTATTCGTGGGGCAGGTTCGAACTGCAGTCTTACTGTGTCGGTGTGCTGACTGACCGACCGCCCAAAACTCTGGGCTCAAGTTATTCACGAGTATTGCAAAGCATTTACATACTAATAAACAGCCTTCGAATTCAACCGGCCAGATTGTCTAGAGCGGATGGTAGGCCGCCTAGGCACAGATCCACTACTGCCAGACACCAGTAAGCTCGAAACATTACCTCTTGGAAGATGTCCATTCCTGTGAGACAACGACCTATACACTATTTTCTTCGTTCTCATAACCCATTTTATTGCAGAGTTGTAAGAGAAGAAACTGCTCTTGTTACAGTCAAAATATTATAACAAATGCAGAAATCAATTAACTCTCGAGCAATTCACAAGCAGATGATGCCGCCTCCCAAATTTACAGAAAGGATCCAGACCTTGCGGAGCGGAGGGTTCCCAGTTGTGAATATAAATAGAAGACGACAGGAGTGTTCATAAGCACCACAATTAAGAACCCATTAGGACCATTCCTGGCGAGCCTGTACAAGCACTTTGTTCAGAAAGCCGAAATTTGGAGGTGTAAGATTTCCTCCTGGGAAGCACATGGAGTCGAGAGATTCGAGGTACTCACTTCGAAGACAAGGGCTTGCTGAGCTGATACTCCGAAGTGCTGAAGAGCTTTCAAATACGGATCGGGGAAGGGCTTGGGTCGTTCGCATTCGTTGCCAATCACAACCAGCTCGAAGAAGTCATCAAGCCCAAGGGCAGAAATAACTTGCTCTACATTATCTCGAGGTGAATTTGATACCGCCGCCCGTCGTAGGCCCCGCTGCTTGATCCATTCCACAAACCTCGAGAGCCCAGGAATTTCAGCGGTATGTTCCTTCGCAAGACTGGCATACATATCAAAGAACGGGGCATTCATAGGATGAACTACCCAGCGAACACAATCGCATCGTAAGAGCCTGAAACCCGAACAAGATGTCTACACGGACCGCGTTCTCTGTCTGCTTCCGGTGAGTGGGTTATGCTCACCACAAGATTCCGTACTGAGCCTTTCGAACAGATGAATGAGGTGGTTATCGGCAAGTTGGTTCACGAAAACACTGCACTGCATAAAGATTGGTGTATATTTGCGTGCTGTGGATCTGACTGTATGTGCTCTGTCAACGAAGGTGCCCACGACCAGAGTCACGACGAGACGCCCGAATAAAAAAAGAAAACGTCAACTTATGAAACAACAGATTTGAGCTTGTATTTCAAGGTACAAAGCATTCGATTTTGATGAGCCTTACCTGCGGAATCTTGCCTCCTTCTCCTCCGTGATCTTCGCTCGAGCCGGTTCGTCCAAAAGGGGGAAATGCTCGGCGGCGATTACAGAATTGAGCTTGCCACTGATTTGCTTCAGAAAATACTCCTTGGTCATGGGCTCTCCATTGTTAAAGCCTGCCTGCCCCCACTCTGCCCTTGCCTGTTCAGACCAGACTATTGGGCTGCAAAACCATCTAAGACAAAAGGGAAGAGAATGCTGTTGAAATTCCATTCAGCGTGTAAATCTCGCTTCGTGCGTCGTGGCCAATCAGTCAACTATTTGCAGTTTCCGCTCTCTCTAAAAGAGAGAGATCACATGACACTACGCGAAAACGCAATCCAGGTTCTGCACTATACTCGCCATCCACACGACAACATTCAAACAGGGCCCAGGGTCGAGCACATAGCTGAAAGCACACGCGCATGCATGAGTTTGTGGTGTCATACGTGTAAAGTGCTACAAACACTGGCTAGGCTGAGCCTGCTTCTCTATCCTTCAATCCGTTACTGGTCTGATCCATCTTGTGAGCAAAGTGGTTTCGTGAGAGGAAAGTTGGCAAACCTGTTGAAAGATCTCCTTGAAAGCCTGAAAATGGAGCGGATCAGAGTCGGTGATGGTGCCATCCACGTCAAAGAGGATGGCCTTGAGTTCCAAAGAGGAAGGAAAAGGCTTTCCCATGGAGTCGTCAGTACTGTTCCTCGCTACTACCCTCGAGGACCGAGACACAGATCAGAGTCTGCGTGCCGAATTCGCGTGTTTACTCTGTTCCATCTGCAAAAGTCCACGTGTGCAACATATTCAAATGAAACTCCAGCTTCTTGCTGCCGTGGATGATGATGAGACACAGTCTTTCAGAGCCAATGCAGGTGACTTCGGTAGAAGCATTTGGCTGAGCTCCGCTGGAGCGTGGGATGATGTCCAAAGGATGATGGTTTGTCATTGAATGGTATGATGCAGCTAGTACGACTGTAAACATCGATAAACTCCATGCACATATTGAATCCGAAAACTTGGACGTCTTCCTTGCTACATATACAGCCAAAGACCACGAAGCAGAAGCAGAAGCAGACAATGGCTGCCTTATTAGAGGGCACGTGGGGATTCAATTCGCGTTACTGAAGTAGGAGTTAAGTGGATTGTGCAGGCAGGCAGGCAGGCCGGAATTTGCGCGTGTTGAGAAATGGACAATTCCACTTGAATGAGCACGAGGTGGTATTCGCAATTTCGCGTAAGGAAACTCACAGAAATCTCTTCCACTTCCCCGAATTTAGCAGATTGCTTGAACGGTGTGAATTTCCAACTGACCAGCTGGCTGTTCGAGCCCCGCTGGTGCAGTGAAGAAGTCAGAGTTCTCAGACCTACAGTTGAGTACACCGAATTCAACGCGCAGGAACGCTCGAGACGAACTCGATCCCACTAGAATCTCATGTGCCCCACGACAACAAGAACGACGACTGAGCGGCGTGCACAGGTCGTTCACCTTGGGATCTGGGATCTTGGCTCACCAGATAGGCAATTCACGAGGTCGTCGTCGGAGCCCGGGGCACCAGAGGGTGCTCCGTCATCGCGTCCTCGGCCTCTGCCTCTGCCTCGGCGCAGATGCTCTTCGTCGCCGGAGCGCCTCGAGCAAGAGCGAGCGGGAGGAGCTGCAGCTTCTCCCCCCATGTTGGTCCTCCCCCACCCAATTGCATTGCGCAGCAGCAGTGCACTTCCTCACTTCGCCTTCCGCCGCAGCAGCAGCTGCACCTCCCTACATCTCTAGAGGGGCTCCCTCCCTCGGGCTGGCACCCCATCTCCCCTCCCCTCCCCTCGCCTCGCTTCCCACTTCAGTCCGAGTCTCTCTCGGACTGTCACCGCGCTTTGTTAGTGACGTTAACGGTCATTCTGCTACCACCGGCCAACTTCAACGCTGCGGAGTCGGATCGGGCGACGCCGGTCCTCGGGGACTTCCATTTCGAGCTCCGTTCCTACGTTCCTGCCCAGGCCCCAGGCCCGCGGAGGGATCCGCAGAGACGCGCCACCTCATCAGGGTCCAGCGAGCAGCACGCACGCTCGCTCGCTCTAAAGTGGTCGCGGAGCGCGAGCGCGCGAACTGCAGCAGCTGCTCTTTCGGATCCCAGCCTGGTCTGCTCTACGCTGCCCTGCTCTGCTCTGCGCTCCCTTCGCTTACCATGCTGAGCGCTCTTTCCCGCCTTCTTGGCTATGCAGAGAAAGCGAGCAGCAGCGCCAATGATTTCTCCGTACGTGCTCTTCTACTCTGTCCCCTTCCCCGCTGCAGGCCCTGTCTCGTGCTCGTGCTCGTGCTCGTCTTCGAATTCCTGATCCGATCGCCGTTATCTGATTGCGTGAAATTGGATGGATGGCCTATGAGTTCTCGATGTTGTTCTAGGGTCGGTCGCTTTGTCGTTGCGAGCTCGGTTTGTTGGAATCTTGCTAGCCCTCGATCATTATTCTGACAGAAGCTGTTCCTGGTTTATAATCGTGGGCAGCATTATGGGTTTTGCCCGCACTTGTATTTCATGCCGACTGATTATGCTTTTGGATGTTTGAAGCCCTTCACGCCACGGATTCTTGCCATGGGTAGATTACTCATCTCCGGAAGAGGAAAGTCGAACTTTACTCGGAGGATAAGGTGATCGAGAATCGCTGGGTAATTGAATCAGCATTGTACTCAATATCTTCAAGGCGATTCGGATGCTATGGAGGCCATGGTCAATCTTGCGACTGTCGGGGTGGGGAAGGACCAAATAGCTCGGTGGCTTAGCGAAACTGCTGGGCCTCATGAAGCGGCTGTCCGGGCTGCCACTGCGCATCTGGAGGCAGCCCGAACGGTTCCCAAGTTTGCTCTATGCCTTCTTGTGTTATCTGCCGGTAGGTTTGTCCTTCATCGATGCCAGTGCTTGCCACCGTTACAGCTCTTGACAATTAATTCCGCTCATGAACTCCTATTTTCTACTCACAATTTGAATAACGAAACGTTTCGAAGGTGGAGGTGAAGATGAGGAAATTTATTTTAATGAAGTCCAATTGGGAAGCATCATCAGGAATCTCGTCGAATGTGTTGATATATGGGAAATTCATAGTTGCCCAAATACTGAGAATTCTTCGTGCACACCTTATGCCTTTAATATCATTCTCCAGGAAACGTTCGAAATTTTGTTTTTAATTTTCAGTTTTCACTTTCTGTATCACACTTGCATGTGAAACGACATGTACATCTTCTTGAATAGTAGAACTTCCTGCTATAAGCAAGTATCCCCACAGGTTCAGCCCTTCCACTTGTGTAAAACAGTCGGCCGCAATAGAGGACACAGTCATTCTCTTAAAGAAATTAAGAATCTGGTCAAGCACCAGAGCGTTTTCAGCTCCAACAGTATTTCGGAATGTTGCGGACTCACGAGGCGGGCCAGACTGAAAGAAAACATACTAATTACATTGCCGGTCATAGCCTGAAAATGTAGATGGAACCAGCTCTTTTTTTCCTTTTTCTTGGACTCCAAGCCTTGGGACTCGTAACTCTGCTCTCTGTTTGAAGATCTAGAAGCTGAAAGTTGTTCAATCAATTTAATATAAACGTGAATGTATCAGAAGACTACACGTGAGTAGTTCAAGTGATTCATCTGTCTATAAGTCTCACCAACGTTAACTTGATGAAGACATATATAACTTGGAATAGTTTTAAGGACATTTCTGTTCTAGTATTCATGCTCGCCTACCCTTTCTTTCAGCTCTGTACATCTTTTAGTAATCGTCTTATGGGCAGTATTGCCTTAAATTCTACCCCTACTAGCTCATCCAGCACCCTTTACGGAGGCAAAATGGCTTTACCATTTGGCTACCTTGATCCATTTCTTGTAGAACTCTAGGCGAGGAATCTAAGTGCGTCCGCCCTCCTTGGGTGATCTTTTCTTTGTAGAATGGACATTTACTTACCGACTTTCTTGCTGGGCCAAGTGCACCAAACTATCTAGTGCAAGAGGCTACCTGAAGCTTTAATGATTGGTCTTGCTGGTTCACGACAATTATTGCTTGTAAAGTTGTTCGTTATCTAATCTATCCAGTGTTGCAATGTTCTGTTTCACATCTCACAGGGGGTGATGAAAAGGGACAGCGAGTTGCTGCTGCTACCTACTTGAAAAACTATCTAAGAAATCATTGGAGTGAAGATAGTGCCATGCCGGCAGTAGAGCGACTGGAATTCAGAAATCAGCTAGTAGAAATTCTTTTGAGGGTGGATGGTATAGTGTTGAAGCTCCTAGCAGAAGCAGTAAGTATGTTCATGGCCGCTGTTTATTTGTTCAAATCTTTTCTATTCTTTCCAAAGTTCACGGTCATGCACCCACTAAAGTTACAGAATCTGCTGTCCCAATCAGTGGACTTGTCCTTTGACCATCATTCATGTGAATCAATTGGTTCTCTTGCAGTTCCGATTGGTAGCTGTCAATGACTTCGCACGAAAGACGTCATGGCCTGAGCTTGTACCAGCATTAAGAACTGCAATCCAAAATAGTGATCTTGTTAACGGAGCTGGGGAGGCGTCTGAATTCAAAACGTTCAATGTGCTCATTGGCGTCCAAACTATTATCAAGCCCTTCCAGGTAGCTCTTGAATTAGAGCTCGCTATCGCTTCTAGCTTGAATGTCAAATATAAGCATGGATTTAATAAATCCTTGTTGCTTTCTGATGCATTTGAATGTGTGCAGTATTTTATGGATCCAACAGTGGCAAGGGAACCTGTGCCTGAACAACTGGAGCTCATTGGAAAGGAGTTGTTAGTTCCTCTGCACAGTATATTCCATCATCTAGTGCAGCAGGTCACTACAGAAGATCATCTTTCACTTTGAATCTTTTGAAGAGCGAAAATCTGTATTTTGAGAAAATATTTTGATTTGATATGTACGATGATTATCTGTAAACCTATATCAGCGCTGTCTGGTTCGTTCGAGTTTGGAGTTTGTGTGTTTATCTCTACATTACACGTTTCGAGTAATGTAGGTAAACTCACATTTTGATTATTGTGGATCAATCCGAAATTGGTGGTACGAGTATTTCAATTTTGCTGACACACGCAGTTCAATTCTCATGACAGGTGGCAGCTTCTAAGGACGAAGGTGCTGCTGCTCACGACAATATTCTTTTAGTGCTGTGCAAATCGTTTCATCTTGCCGTAAGCATTATATATATGGACCTGCTCTTGTGAGACACTGGATTGTGTTTACGATGATCCTTTTGTGGAGTCGTCAAATGTTGAAATATAGACGAACACACTTGTGGAGATGAAGTTTGTACGGAAGAGAGAATAGACTAGAGAAGTATTAAATTTGGACCCTTGAATGAACACTAACCTGAAGCTTACATATTTACGGTGGTATCCTGTAGATCAAATCACATATGCCTGTATCGCTGGCATTGTATCTGGGTCAGTGGTTCCAAGACATCATGGTCTTACTACAGATGGTTGTTCTGGACAAGACATTGGATGCACCCCACCAATACCACAGGCTGAAAACTTGGAAAAGGGCCTTGCAAATATGTTGTAACCTTATCACGAGGCATCGCAAATACGTTGACAAGTAAGCCATTTTTCAAACACGCTTCTGTCCTAGTTGGAAAAGGAGTTCACACGGCTGATCATGTTTTCAAATGAATGTTTTTTTGTATATTGGGAATGGACTGAATTCTACATGCTAGGATTAACGGATTCATGGTTGTTCTTGGGTTCTTGGATTCTTGAGTATGTCCACGCAGTCTCGTTTGTTTTGACGTAGAAATTTCAAGAACTGAGTGAGTTTCTTGGTAGGTGTATCTGTTGTGAGCTTTCTTAAGATAGGCAAACAGTTATCTAAGCAGAGAAGATATGCCAATCTGTTTAGGAATCTGTATCTTTGGCTACTGGGTTTGTTTCCTTACGTTATGTTTCCAATTCCGTACGCATCTTTGCTGTGTGACTAAGAGAGTAATTTGGGTCCATGATGCAATATGTTTTGTGCAGATATTTGCCATCAATGTCACACATGGCTCTCAAACTCCTGAGTCAAAATAGAAGTAAGGTACGATGAATCCTCAGATATCTGTGGTTGTTCATTTTATGAAGACTATGTTTCATTGTGACTCAAAGCTGGATATTCTTGTCCATTTGGACGTATTGACCTTCTGTATAGAAGGGTCCTTCCTTCGTTTGCATCAAGACTTTTAAGGTGGCTAAGCTGTTGTTTATCAATGCAGGGTCTGCATCCCATGCAGGAACGTATAATTTCATTAGCGTTCGATGTTGTATCAAATATCCTCGAGACTGGACCCGTAAGTGACATGTTCTATCTTCGTTGATCATATCGTCTGTTACACCTATGGATCAATAAGGCCGTTGTTAGAAGTAAACGGGCATTATGCAGCTCATCTGGATCCTACTGCGATAAGACAAAGGCATATCATCAGTTGACTAAAAGATGGAACCTACGAACGACTGGTCGCTCTGTAGAGAGCCTCGATATTTGTGCTTGTATCCGTGTCTCCGATTAGCATGAGATGTGATTTTTTCGTATTATCTTAATGCACTTGTCTCCTCTGATTCTACCTCTTTCCCTCGCGCTTTAGAATTCATACGCGTGTCATGTATACATTACAGTTAAGTACTTTTTCACTCATGCAAGCATCGCTCATTTAGGCTTTCGCTTCGCTACTTCTCCCTCATTCAGTGTTGTCCTTCCTATGATTCACACACACTTCTTTTGTCTTCACTGTAGTCGATCGTATACTTTTTGGTCCAGTATCTAATTTTATTTACTGTCAATTAGTAACCTTCAATATGGTCTCTCGCTCATTCGGTTGAGTGCTCTCATCATTTCGAATGACGACGTGGCTTCCTTTGTTGGGTATTTTGTATTCACACGTGCTGAGTAAAATAGTCATAATATTTGAGCATATTCTAATCACAATTATTTTGTACAGGGATGGCGACTGATGGCACCACACTTTTCAAATCTGCTAGAAAGTGCAATATTTCCCACTCTTCGTTTATCAGAAGAGGTGACATGTCCACAACATTCAACTTGGGCTAGAATTTTTTTAAAAGTTACCGCAACGCTAAAGCATGTCACCTCATTAGTCGGGTTTACTCTACTTTTCACCGAAGAAAGTGAGTGTGATTCTTAGAACTCGAAGCAGAAACTTCTTTCTTTTATTTTCGTGTAATCTTTGAACTTCAAGTTCAAGGAATGCCAATAAAGTTATTGACATTCCTTGGAGTACTTTTCAGGATATGGCGGAATGGGAAGAAGATGAAGACGAATATCTTAGAAAAAATCTCCCATCAGACATGGTACGCTCTACACACTTATACTCACAGGGACCAAATATTGTGATGCAATTGATTGGGGTGACGCAATTCACTACATTGTCTCTCATGTCTTTTTGGTTTTGACTAAACAGAAAGCTGTGTTTGCTGGATGTAGCGGGTTTTGGTATCAGCATAGAATTTTTATTGATCTTCGAGTACCCTTCTTTCAGCAACTCTGCTCGGAGAGCAGTAGTATATACTTTATATGTACCCATCTTCGGGTGATTGTCAGTCAACTTTGGAGTAATTTGCATTTGAAGTGGATCTGTGTCCTGCACCTGCTGTATATCTAGGACGAGGCAAGCGGCTGGAAAGAGGATCTTCTGATTCCTCGACAAAGTGCTATCAACCTGCTAGGCTTGATCGCTACGTCAAAGGTTAGATCCAATTCTTTATCATCAATGTGCGTATGTGTATTTCATTCTTTGGGTCGTTCTCACTTCTGCACTGTGTATACACTTTTTGCGTTCTGTCAGTCCTACCAGCTCTTTTGCCCATGTTTGCGCATGTCTTCTCAGGGTCCTCCGACCACTGTTGCTGCGAAGAAAGTGGCTGCCATGAAAAGAAAGAAGGCTGGGAAAGGTAAAGGCAAGGATGGGCAAGGGACAGCTGGAGAGCTTCTCGTTCTCCCCTTTCTCTCGCAATTTCCCCTTCCACCACCTGAAGCCGCGTCAGCTTCAGACCTTGTAAAGAAGTACGCTTTCCAACCTCCCATTATGAAATCACAATCCTACGAATAGTGACTGAGCAGTTTCTTAGACATGTCTCAGTCGCGTGAAAGAAAGAGAAGTCCAAGGAGAACTCACAAGGCTGTTTTATCCGATTGATTAATCGATTTCCAATCTGCTATCTGATCTCTTTCAACCTCCTTAACCTGGTCTTTTCTTGGTGAACTGTTCAAGGCATCTTGGTACAAGTTATACCAGAGAGCATCAGCAGGCTTAAGTATGAGATAGTAGCCTATGCCTGGGTATGATATTGAAACATCTATTTCGTTAAACACTGATCTGTTGGAAACAACCTTCACTTGCAGTTATTATGGAGCTCTTATGGCCTATGGTGGACTTACACAGGTTTGTGCTTCATAACCTGCGGTCACTGTCACTCTTGAGAAGAACATATGTGTGCATTACAGTCTGCATTGTTTATAGATTCTATCTTTCCTGGGCCCAAAACTGTCAGAAGAGATCTCAGGTTCCACTTTCAGTTACGGATCATTCAGCGAATTAATCGTTCCACTTTCATCGAGCTTTGTTGATTCTGCATGTACAGACGTATTTCTCTATACGAGTTATGCTACGTGCATGCTGTTTATTTTTTTGCTGGACCCATGTTGTTCATATACCCAATATGTGAAGATTCATATGTCAAGAATATACTTTTCTTGTTGATGCAGTTTTTGAAAACTCAGTCACCAGACAAAGTTAGCTTTTTACTTCAGACCCGAGTGTTTCCTCTTTACACTATGGGAACACCTTCTCCGTATGTGTTGGCAAATGCAAATTGGTTACTTGGCGAGCTAGCTGCTTGTTTGCCGGAGGTAAGGAAATGTTCAATTTTATGCTTTTCTGCCCATTACGCATTGTGTTCTGCCTATTTGTTTTGCGCCTGTGTTATCTCCAGTAAACTTTTGAGTATAGAGGATAAGTCATTCGTAAAGCATATCTAATCGCAGAAGGTTTGAGTCTCAAAAACTTGGGCATAAAAGTACGAGAAAATCATCTTATCCAGACGCAACATATTTAATTTACATCGTCTTCATTTCAGCCGATCCTAGTATAGGTAGAGGCTGTTAACAATCTGGAGCTCTCATTGCGACGTGTGGTTGAAGTAGGAATTGAATGAAGACATTTATAATGCTTTATTGAAAGCATTATTGGCTCCAAATGTGGGTGATGTGTCTTGGCGACCGGTGAGGGCATCAGCCGCAGGAGCACTTTCGACACTTTTGCAGGTTTCAACTTCCCTGGTCTTAATCCTTTCTCAGTATTGTATGTATCATAATGATAATTTTACACTCGTCTGATGCATACTTTCTTATCATCAAATTCGGTTTCAGATTATTTAAGAGTTAGTCTTAGACTACAAAGCCAAACTGCGGTTCTGTCACAGAGAATGGCCTGTTCGAAGGAGGTATAGGTTAGATAGCTCGTGAGAAGGGATGAGGTCTAGGTAGATGCTAACCAACCTACTAAAGAGTCTGCCTCGAGTCTGGCCTGGCTGCTCTTCAGTTATTTGTTGGAGAGGTGACGCGGGTTACTGGCGTTTCTATCCACCTATCTCGACACCATATTAGGTGTTGATGGAGTCATTGTGTTCTTGTATATCATTGTGTTTTTGCTATTCATTCTAGTGTTGTATCTTTCTGTGGACAGGTATTATTCTCTATGTAACTTCGATTGGGGAATCACGATTCCCCAATCGAGGTTATATAACTGCACGTATTTTTTTTGTTACGCGCTGTGCAATGTCCTCACTTATAATGTTTTCCTTTTACGCTCTGCCAGTTGCCTGCATTAGCCTCTCGGCAGGAAGTTCGCTCGCTTACTAGGATCTGGTGCACATGAACATCTGTTGTGTACTCATTTCCTGGTTGTGAGTAATCTTTGCTTGAACATTGCTTCACACTCTCACTTGTTCGATACCAGGGCGATGGGTCTCTTGTCCTCAGTCTGTTAACGACTAATGAATGCACTATGATTTGTACAATCACACCACATGTATGCTTACTTGGATTTGTCCTTGCCAGGAGGAATATAAGCCAGTACAGTGGCTGCCCTTGCTGCAAGCTGCAGTCGCAGGTGCAAGAATGGTGGAAGAAGGAGAGGCAACAATTGCACTACAGTTATTAGCAAATGTTGCAGAGGCAGGTGAAGATCATGTTGCACCCCACGTACCAGCCATCACAGCTGCTGTACAAGGAGAGATATGTCGACACATACCCCCGCATCCGGAACCCTGGCCTCAGGTTTGCCGCCAACACGTTAACATCACAGTGGAGATTTTCTCCAGAATTTACCCTTCTTTGTTGATATGGGCATCTTAATGTGTCGAAGAGATGATCTTGATAAACTGCTACACCGATGAGAGTCATGTTTAGAGAATTTTAGCTGTGTTCTCTCTGATGTTGTTTACATGTCTGTTATACTGATACTGTGCATCCAGGTCAATTCAAATCTGCTGATAGTAGTGATTTCTTTCCCTGCAAAATATCACCCACGCATAGCCTCTGTATACTTCTCTACGGTGGGCAACTGAAGGTTTGACTCTTTCATAATTCTTTCATTGCCTTTCAAGATGGTGGAGCTGGGATTTTCTGCCGTAGCATCTCTGGCTCAGACATGGGATAGTGCTGAACCAGAGGAGGACGAGGATGGCGGAAAAGCATTAGAAAATTGGAAGATGGGCTGCATCACAGTCGCAAACACTTTTTCAGAGCTTTTACAGCGGGCGTGGTTACCCACCTCTCCTGTAAGTTATGTTAGTGATGAACACATCATCATGCATGACTTTGCACATATTTTTCACGTTCATGTGGTTCTCCTCAAGGTTCTAAATGTACATTATTAAGTGCTGTAAAGCATAACTTGCTCCTCTCCTATGTAATACTTTAAAAGTTTTAAGCCTTTATTTGGTCTGTACTCGAACTTCTATCCGCAATGCATATTCTTCAGATGCAAGTTGAGTTGTCCATCAACATCAATATTCTGCCATGGAAGATCAATTTATTGATTTTTTAACTCGCTTCTTGGCTTCAATTCTTTCATTTCTTTCTCGCAGTTCTATCTGTCCTCTTGCATTTTCTCTCAAACATCGGCATCGTCAACAAGTCGTCTTCAGGGATATAGGGACCAAGACTTGATATGCATAGAATGACGAGGCATTTCGCCTCTCTTTAATGAACTTCTAGGGCCAAAAGCTTGATATTTCTCTAGATATAATCGTCATCAACTGAATTAAGAAGCACGGACTTGAGCTTGCAGGATGGATCCTCAGTTGTGGCTGCTCCACCTCCTTCATGCTTGAATGATGCCTCAACGCTGCTTGCGGCAGTTCTCAGGTATACAAACGACTCCACTATAGCTGCAACCTTGAAGGTTGAGCCACTGCTACAAGTATGGGCCAATCTGATTTCTGAATGGAGCGCTTGGGAAGAAGAAGAAGATGAATCTGTCTTTGAGGCCATTGAGGAAGCTATTCTTCTGCATGTAAGTTGGCTGTCTGCACTGCCTGTAAATTGCTTGAAGTCATTCAGTATCTAGAAATATGTTGGAAGTTATAGCTAGAACACCAGCACGCGTTAGTGGCAGTTAGAGACCATGTGGACATTTTTTCGGTTTCAAATATTGGGCTTAGGATCGTCTAGCTATAATAAGAATCATCCTACTTGCAAATAAGAAAGGTGACACCCTTCAACGATCGACCAATGCTGACGCAAACTCGGCACTTTTACTCTATATGGATAACTTGAATTAGAAGTATGTCGTACTTCTCGTTCACGCCCAAGTTTATTTTAGAGTAGACTCTTCTGGTTTCCATCCTGCCTTCTTCTGTTTCCTCTCCGTACAGTCGATCAACATGCATCACTAAGTGCTGTAAACGTCAACATGTTTCAGGTTGATGGCCTACATGCATTGTGTTCTCCCGATTTGATTTTACTATTGGTTGCTGTTCCTCTCTGTTTTCTTTGATTTCTTTGAGGTGCATGTAAGCAGTGTGTGTAAAATTTACAAGCGCTGGATCTTTCCACTACTTTCCAGTTTTGCGGTAGTTTTCAATAATTATTTTTCCCCCCGGCGGTAATCTCTTGCAACAGGGATCTCAACGCCCTCAGAATGAATCTCTCGAAAGCTACCGCAACACTACACAGTAGTGGAAAAAGCTCCAGCACTTTGTAATTGCACTCCTTACTTGCATCTTATAGAACATACGGATGATCCCACTTGTTACCCCGTCACCCAAGTCATTGAGGTTTTACTTATATTACCGTCATTTCAGGGAAGAAGCCCTCTGCGCCACTTTACAGTTGCAGATGTTCTTCCTGCTCTTTCGGGGACCTCGGCGCCAACTAGATCAATTCTTGAAGGTCTGGTCACGTTTGTCACCTCAGCAATCGAAGGAGCATACCCTGCAGCTGCTTGGAGGGCATGTAGGTGTACTCATGCTATTTTGCATGCCTCCTCCCTTGCATTTGAAGGAGAGGAGATTTCCAAAGTTCTGGTCAACCGGTTTGTCCAGGCGACGTTCAGGCGTTTGAAAGCTCTAAGCAGATTCACTGTACCTCTAGCCAAACCCCTCGTTCTCGTAATTGCCACATGCTATGTTTGTCTTCCCAAGGAAACCGAGCAGGTGCTTAACCTTGAAGATGACAAAAAAGTTGATGAGGGCCATGGCGAAAATTTGCTACTTTGGGGTGAAGCTCTGGCTATTTTATCAGAAACAGAGGCAGATCCGGGTCTCTCTTTGGAGTGCGAGATCAAACTATGCGGTAAGTTGCAATTCTAGTTGACGAAAACTTCTGGAAATTCGTCGCAGATGTACGCCATCTGGAGCTACCGTTCTGATAACTTCTTTAACCTTTGGATCTCTGTAAACAAGAGAAGTGGCATCAGCAAGTACACGTGTATACACCTAAGAAGGTTCCAAGTAAGACTTGACGAGATCAATTTACTCAAAATGTTTGGAATGTGTTCAAAATCACTTATCTATACTTTTTGGACTTTGTATGTTTGCCTACAGTGCTTGCATTGCTGAAGCTTCTGGAACGTTTGATGAGCAAGGAAATGGCTGAAGGATCCAAGGGCTTCCTAGTTGCGCAACATTGTTTCAAATCACTTCTTGAATCCACTGTTGACCTTAAGGAAGTCCAGGAGTCATCATCAATCGATGATAGTGATGATGACGACAGTGATGACAGTGACGGTAGTGAAGATAGTGACGAGGATGACGATGATGACGACGATAGTAATTCCGTAAGTTTCCAGAGTGTTAGGAACATCGAACCGATTGAAAGAATCAGTCCTCTGCTTGCCTTCCATCATCGTTTTCTTTCCAGTTTTGAGCGCATGAGGCAGCATGTAGTTTCACTTGTTCGTGTTTCCATGTGACCTTCGTCCTCCTAATACAGAAGGAAATTACTCTTTGTAATGTGATACTAAATTTAAACGGTCTCCGTCGAGTCTCGAAGTACGCTCTCACTACTTACCTTCGCATCATGTGGCGATGTAGAACTCCGATGATGATGATTCTTCGGATGAAGAGCATGAGGAAACTGAGGATGAGTTTTTAGCAAGGTACGCACGGACCGCAAGAGAGCTGGACTTGCAGGCAATCGAAGAAGCTGAGGGTGGTCAGGATGAGGATGGTCAGGACATTGAGCTCGGTAAGTTGTCTCGGGTCGAAGGTCAAGAATTCTTCCAAGCTTTTGAATGCACTGTTTCCGGCTGCAAATGTCGGGGTTACTTGTCCTGCCATGAGCCTTCGAGGATTTCAAAAGCTTTACGAGTCCCACGTCTACTAGCGAAACTTTCACTGTTACAGTCATGTACATACTATGATTCTCAAAAGGTTGAAGTTTCAATGATGTAGAATCCCAATATGATCATAGGCAGGTGTGTTGCGTCCGAAACTAATCAAAGATATGACTTGATGCAGGGGTACTAGGATTAGTGAATCCTGAATGCCAGGTGATGACTTTCATCAAAGATCATGGAAAGACTCTGTTGACGAAGCTTTCATTGTCCAAGGATCTCGTCTCTAGATTCATAGATAAGTTTCCAGGCTCGAAGCAGCTGCTTTCGCAGTGATTAAGCGGAAAAAGTTTAGTTAGTGCCAACTCCTACGTCTATTTCAAGGAGTATTAGTAGTTTAGATCCCATGTATCAACTCTCTGAAGTACGGCAAGATTCTCCTGCACAACGAGTTTTGGTTCTCTAATGGAGACATCCATGTGCAACTTCAAGATCGGAGGTGCTAGTGAACTGCAGTATGACATATCCAAGAGCTTATTAGGGCCTTATAGCCTTCTGTTCTCTTTGTATGTGTCTAGTCATGAACCAACTCTAGTCAAAGATTGCCTGGTATTCATAGTTTGTACATTAGTCAGCTGGTAACACCATGATATCTGGATCATTTGTAAGAACTACATATTTTTTTATTGCTGATCATTTTAGGAGATTCCCGTCTCTCCCGAGTACAACAAAGATACTTTTTACTTCATATCACGCATGCCTGAATTCACATTCGTCCTCGAACCCCTTTCTTTTTATGTGGAACCAACTCGCCTAGAAATAATGGTTCAGTTTTGTAACTTACCACCATGTACTCTTCATATCAGTGAAGCAATTGAGATATATGTTTGGATGGGAATAACAGCATCTATATATACACACACGAGATAGTCGTGCACGCCAATTTGTTTTTATCTTTTGATTTATGCTGGATGAATGTTTATTAGTTGATTAAATTTTAATTCTATATCTAGTTTTATAAGCTATAATTAGTCAAACTAATTGATTAATTAGAGTAATAAAATGTTTAACATAATCATACGGAAAAAAAATAGAAGCTTCAATTTAACATGCATGTAGCTCTTACAATTGTTCAACAACTGATAACACAAAAGTGACCTTAGTGAGTGTTTGTGAAAATGGGCGACGTTGCTCGTTGTGTTGGAAATAGTCAAAGCAAAGCACCCACTGGATGACATAGTCAGCATCACATGAATCACAGCATTGTTACATATATTACTGCCTTTGTCAAAATCGTGTATAGAGATTTCTCGCTCTCACAAGCAGCTATTATGTTGTTGAGTTCATTGTTACCATCCTGGTTTCGTGATAAGATATTTTTCAAATGAAACTACTAGACAAGTGCGAATGAGCTCGTTTTAACAAAAGTACACACATACTTGAGAACTGGATGTGCACCTTCAAGCTGCTTATATGGAATCCTTTGACACTATGTTGCTTTGGCTTTACTGTGAAACCAAATTGAACTATAAAGACAAAGACGGTGAACTGAGTTTGCTGTGTATCATCTCATAACCAAACATAAGATTATTCAATAGAAATCAAGATCCTTGAAAGAATTAGAGTTATAACTCTTTTCATCCTTCTATAATGTTCTATAATATTGATGATTCTCCTATGATGTTATATTATGTTGATGATCGTCCAAGAGTGGAAGTTGCAAGTGCATTCGATTCAACCGTTGTTTGACGAGAATTTAGATGTTGGTTTATTTTTTATCCCATGTCCAACCAGATAAGTCACTTTTTGGAGATAGATAATCAAGCGATTCATTCTCAACGCTTAAAGTTGCCGAATTATCAAGGTTCATTTACATACAAACGGAAGGAAATATTCCATTGATTTTATGTAATAGTGTTTCATCATATACAAGGTAATGATGAAATGAGAAGATTATCATGAAACTTGCAAAGCTGAATTTGACATTAATGAAGATAATAAATGTGATGATTAACTATTATGAAAAATCAAGTTGATGGCTTTGACTTTGGAAAAAATGTTAAGGTCTACATCATTTCATTTTCACATACAAAAATTAGATTAATATTCAAAACAAGGATGTAAATATTTTTATATTAGATTTTTAATCTTTTATTTTAAACTTTTATTTTATTGATTTAGTTGTATGAATTACATTTTTATTGCAAAAATTTTTCAAACATATTTTATATCTTTGTTATCCTCATGAATTTTAAAATGACAGATTTTGATGTGATGATTCAAGATCATATTGATGATTTTGATGTTCTAATTATTGCAGTTCAAAATTTTAAGTAAGATATAAATAATAACAGAAAAATATAATCTTTATGATTCATTAACTATTTTAGAATCATCATTAACAAAATCCTTATTTGATGGTAATAATCAAACATCATATATCATATAGTGTAAGCATTTTATATATAATATTATATATATCTTGTGATAATATATATAATAACATACATAATAATATATAATTTATAATTTATTATATATTGTAAAATTATTCAATATAATAGATAATTTATAATTTATAATTTATAGTTTATATATAATCTTGAAACCACTGAAATTTAAATGAATGAAGAAATAATTCGAGGTAATTAACATCTTAGAATTATTTCATTGTTTTTAAAATATATCAAAAAATATGATTTTTTAATAATAATGATATTTTTAAAATTACAGGTGAAATTCATAATAATTATCACATTTGTGTTTGTAATTTTTAAATAACTAAAATGTACATGCTATATGATTTATTTCCACAACTATATAAAAAATTAAACCAAATATAAAATGAGCATTATTTTTCACATCAAATTACCCTTATATATATGTATGTATGTATATCAATCATGTGAAAAGATTTGAAGCTAAATTCATCTATCTTTGCATTTCTACAAGAGTTTGATAAATTTAATAAGTTTCATTTAAAATCTTCTTATACTCATCAATAGCGTCATCTTACAAAATGAATACACTTGCAGATTTCTAACACCTTTTACTGAAGTGTTTTATCATTGTAACTCAGATCATCATTATCATGACAACAATTTCAAATATAAAATATCATTTCTTTACTTAATAGAATGATTGTCACTGTGACAGTATTCTTAATGACATCAACAAAAAGTAAAAGTTTGTATCCAAGCTAAACATTGAATGCATCAAATTTTGAGTGTAAACTTGTACCTTATGACATCTTTGAGCTCATTCTTGACATGTTTGTGGATTACTATGAAATCTATTATTTTGAATTAAGTTCATGAGCTTCAGTGAAATATGTAGAGAGGAAGTGAGAATTTTTTGAATAGATCTGCAAACAAGTACTTCACAGTATCATGCTCTTCCATTTGTTTCAAGATGTGGGGATGATCTATCATAAACCCCACATCACTTGTCGATTCCATAAATCGTCGTGGATTTGACCGCCAAGCTTCTCCAATTCAAACCTCAGGCCAATTTTATTAAGAGACTTCGGCTAGATGTTGTTCGACATCCTATGTAGCCCATTCATTAAAGCCGTCATGTGAAACCAGTTTTATCTCTACGAGACGACTGTAACAATGACATTCTGAAATTCTGACAGAGATATGGAATGTCAAGCAGTCTGAAGTTAATCAAAATTAGGAGGAAGTTCAACTCCAATAAGAAGAGTTCAATACCCGAAATAGCGAAAAGTCAGATCTTCTAGTGAAGCCCATATTGAAATCTTGTGCCCGTGTGCTCGGAGTTGACCTCAATCAGATGTATATATATGTATATGTATATATTGTATATGTATATACAAGGAATCAAGGCAGGAATCTCGAAATAGAAGAATCAGATTGCTCGATGACGGCGCTCCGTGCTGACCATGTCGTCCCTAAAACTCGCAGTTGAAGCTCGACGTGGTTTCATGGCGTGTGGGTGACGGTACGAGATCAGCAAGTGCGCAGTAGCACTTGGCGCAGGACACTTGTGTGTGAACAGAGGCTGGACTCTTGGGAACGAGATATTTTTCCCACTCTTCCTGGCAGCTCTTTACAGTAGGTCATGTACTGTCCATAGGCAGTCATCAAATGGCCGTGACACACCTGCGGAGTCTAGGCAGGTCACACTTGCCATACGTGGTAGCCCGCCTTGCCTACAGGGGCCACCTCCCAGGACACGTGTCGAGCTTATGCGAGTGACACTTGTGGTATAAGTATGCTCATGATCGCAGAGTCTGTAGATACATTTCTAGATATCATTCCTCTCTCTCTCATTCTCGAGCAGCTTCTCAATCTGGTGTTGGCACATTTCGCCAGACACAACATTCGAGCCTTCGGTATCTCCTCATATCTGAAATTCTATCGACGGACGGGACGTGCGTGCGAAGGGAAAACTTCGACGATTCTGGTGGGCAAAGTTTCCTGATCTGTTAAGCTGCCAAGCTATCCATGATCAGTGTTCAGACTTTTGCATGTTTGGCCCGAAGAGTTTTCATTTATGCTGAATGCATGGGTGGGTGATCTGGGCCTTGACCTGAAGCCGTAGGGACTATTGCTGCTGTTTATTAGATTTCTGACCTAGACAGCTTCGTCGTGTGCAGTGAGAAGAAAATATGGTTCGATCCACTTTTATTGATGTGCTTCTGGCAATTCTCCTGCCCCCACTAGGAGTATTTCTCGCCTTCGGCTGTGCGGTAAGAGTTTCTTCATTCTATTTTCTGCATGCATGGAGACGATGCGTTTTTCTGCATGGAAAAGATGGAACTCACATAATTGAGTACGGGTTATATTCGTCGATTCCGCCAGCTAACGACACTCGATCGCGATGTTTACTGTGATTGCAGGCTGAGTTCTGGATATGTTTACTTTTAACGTTCTTGGGGTACATTCCCGGCATCATATACGCCTTGTATGTATTAGTAGGCTGAGCACGACGAACAGAATGACTCGAACAGATGGTCAACTTGGAGACTCAGATTTAGATTGTATAGCTGGGCGAAGAGCCTTTGCTTATAATTTCTTTGGTGGTTCATAACCACCAAACTTGTACAGATAGATTCAGTACAGATGGATCACGTAGGTTTTACATATGCGGGTTTGAGTGCAGCTCGGGTGTTGTATAATCAATACTTTGAGAACGTTGAACATTGTAGAATTCTGAGATCAACGATGAGAAGTGGACATGCACATATTCAAGTTCAGGTCGTAGTTTTGTAGTCAGCGTGTTGAGTATGAAGTTTAATTGAATAAGACGACGATACAAAGATCGTGAAATCTTTGTTGTTGTAAAACTTGCGCAAATTGAAATTTTGCAATTTATAATATGATAGTTAATCATTGAAACGTACAATTTTCATACTTATTATTATTTGCATACTTAATTATTTCGTTTGCCTCCGTTGAACGTTGATATTTTTTTTTCTACATAAGAGTGACGTACTCGCCAGGATGTATTTGTTAAACGTTTAATAGCTTTATAATTGTGTTATATAACTGTGTATATAAAATATGTGTACCACACTAAATATATAAATAGTCGCTAATATGTTGTAATTTTTGGTCAATATAATCATATGCGGGAAAAAGAAACTACTCTTCAAACGAGGATAAGAATAATCAAAACAAAGAGAGAAAATAAAAATGAGTAATAAAAGTCGAATATTTACTTATTAACGTTAAATATTTTGTAAATGACTAAATACATTACCACATATAATTGCGAAGAAAACTCTATTGTCTCTTGAAAACATGGAGAAATAAACTTGTCACCTTCTATATTGACATGATAATATTACAGTACCTTCCTTACATTACTAAAACTTACTCTAATGTAATGCAATAGCAAAAACCTGATATGTTTTCACTTGTAAAATTTCATATATCACATAATCATCAATAGAACAATAAACTAAATAGTATACAAATAATGATCACAAAAATTTTTTGTATAATAAAAATCATTAATGAAAAATAAAGTTATTTGCTTGATGATACTCATCAAGTCTCATTTTACGGATGGAACAATGTGAGTTCTAAAATGCATTCTTGTATTAATATGTACTAATTTGTGGTTCTTAGATGGCCTTGAGTGCGTGCCATTGGAGTTTGAACAAAAATGGATGTAATCTCGCCCGCAAAATTTCCCGAACCAACACAATTTATTGAAGCTTTTGGACATTAAGGGTTGCAAAAACAATCCGTGTTCCAAAATCAATCTGCACAAGCACACTGAATCGAAGAAATCATTTTTGGATCTAGAAACAATGATATGAGATATAGGGCAATGCCATTGGAAGTACAATTTCCACTTCCAGTAATTGTGAGTTTTTTCGTCGAACCATCAAATTTCTGCTCCAACAGATCTATAGCATCAGGCTATCACAATGAAGATATCTGCGTACATGAATTGCTGCGGACAAAATCATCCTTGTAACAACGGTGCATTCTTAAGTATCAGACGGTGACATAAAAATATGATAAAATATTTCAACCAAGTATACAGGAGTTCAAAAATTTAAAAATATTGAATGATTATATTTTTTTATATAGGTATAAGCTTATAAAACTATAAAGCTTGTTTTGTGAGATGGCATGAATTCTCTCATTCTTTTAATGAATTGACCTAATTCAATAAAATTTTACACTTCAAATTATTATTATTAACATAATTCAATTTGATTCATATAATCTTAAAGTTATAAACATATGTGAAATTTGATTTACATAATTAAAATTGCAAGATTATAATGATTTATCAGATTATTCTTAAGAAAAAAAGTCAAACGCTTTGGTTGAACTTACTCACACATCACACACTTACAATGAAACTAGATATATGTGGTTGACCATAACAGCCTTTGTCCACGAACTATTTCAGATTTTATTAGAATTATCTAAAAAATGTTTCTAATTTGTGTCATAAATTGTGGTGAAATGATAGTAATGTACTATAAGACCTAAAGACTAAATACAAAATCTTGAGGCAAAGATGTGTTATTGCACACAAGTGGCGAGCATAATGTGATGAACGATAGATTGAAAAGTAATGAATGAGTAAAAATGGATTTTTTTTCACACCACCAGTAAAGGATACAATATCAAGTGTTTAACAAAAGTATATGACGACTACTAAATCAGGAAAAGCGGAATTCGACATATTAAGATACAAAGCACATAATCACTATTTTCTCTAAAAGATATAAGTGAAATGCAAGTTGTAGGTCATATTTTTTGGAAAGTTGTTGAAATCAAACCGTTCAACTACAACAACGAAACTTTGAGATACCATTTTTTGGTGTTCATTGTCAACATCATATTAGTTTATGTCACGTGTCATGAAAAATACTAAAAATTATGGTTTATTGTTTGATGGTTGATAGTACAATGTCAAATTTTTGCTAGACTACATTGATTTTGATCATGAACAAGATCTAGGCAAGGGAAAGTCTACAATTGAATATGTGTTTACACATAGTGATGAATGCAATAGTTAGAGATGTGATCTGCAGAAATGCGTAGCTTAGTTTACAACGGAAGTTGAGTATGTAATGGCAGAATAAGCAACAAAGTAAGCTATTTGATTGAATAGACTTCTCATCCAAATGGGATTAAAACTTGAGTTTGTCAACACTAAATTCTAAACCCTTACATTTTGCTGCAAATCAAGTAATGGACAGTAGAATGAAACACATTGACATCATGTACCATCTTATCAGACATGTAATTTCTAATAAGAATTGAGCTCTCAATTGATGCGTTGATAGAAATTATGCTTTGGAGAGTTTCAAACGACACTGTGTTACTATGCAAGTTGTGAATGTATAGCACATAAATCTTAACAAGGTAGGATAAAAGATTATCGAATAATGCATGGACCTTTATCTTTTCCTTACTCGTACCAACGACGTCTACTTTTACCTTTAACTTTTTCTAATGGTAATTTACTTGTTTATTCGATACACATTCTCTATTCAGATATAATAACTAGTGTATCGCCTTCGAGTGAGACAAATAACGATTGTGATTTTAGTCAAATCCGAAGTCGTGTTTGGCGTCAAAGACAATGTCAAAAGATTGAGATTGGAGCATGAAAATGACAACATCTTCAAAGATTTTCTCGTTCCAGCCGCTTTGCTCCTCCTCAAGCTATTGAACTATTGTCTCCAAAATTTTGTTCTCGCCTTCAGCTAGGGCTGCCGTGGCCGCCGTCGCCCAATGCGCATGCACTTTGGAGATACTCACATTCATCCATGAGCGGAGACTTATGATCATGATAAATATCAACAATAGCAGCGATAGCCGCGTGTACGCAGCAATCGGTGACTGACATATCTTTGTTCACGCGCTCCGATGGCATTGACGTTATCGATGTCCCCTGTTAATTCATTGCCATTTGGTAGTGACTCGGCAGCGTATTCTTCCGGGCCGATGAGCACGACAAGACATCGATGAAGCCAATAGCATGAACAACATTGAAGGAACTTGTCAATTTTATCGTTGACGCCATGTAGTTGAAAGATTGCGGCGAATTGCGAATTGCGAGTTGCACAATGCTTCTGGCGGCAAGTCCTTGCTCTTGATTGAACTGTTCTCGGCAGAGTAGCGCCGCTGTTGGAAGTTGCATTCGATTTTAGATGATGGCAGGTTCTTGCATCAGACTCTGCTCACATGATTGCAGCTTCATCTTCATGGAAATTGCCGTGAGTCCGACGTGTATTTCCTGCAGGTTCTGCTCGTCGTCGTCGCAATGCTTGATCAACATGACGACGGGCAATGGCACAAGGTTGAACGCCGATTTGTAGTCCGCCGCAAGGCTCTCCATGACTTGCCACGATGCGCAAAGGAAACTCGATACGGCGGAAATTACCTGCCACTCCGAATCTTGAAGAGCTTCATAACCAATGTTGTTCTCGTATTGGTTCATGATTGTGTTCACAACGACGCGCTTGCTAAAAGCGTCGAATTCTAACTCGTTGGCGAGACTGCATGCGTCGCCTTTGTGCTGCTTAGACCAGAGTGTGATGCCTTGATCTGATATTGTTGCCGGATGACTTTGCTCCGACGCATCTTAACCAAGTCGTTTCGTAGTTGCTTGATTGACAGGAAAATGAACTTCAATGACATGCAGCACTACGAGCTGGATAGAATGGTCGACACACCGGACGTGGTTGCACTTGCGTAGCTACTCGTACACGACAAAAGCTTTCATGAGCTAGAATAATCACACAATTACACTTTTCGCTTTTGATCCATTCTCATTGATGACGTTCAATACGCGTGTGATTACATTCCGATTCATGCGCTTCAAGTATTCGAACAGGATTGTCCCGACATGCATGCCGACATCCACCCCGCACTTGATATTCAAGATCGTTAGCAAAATGTTCTTGACCTTCAGCGTGAAGACGTTCATCTAGTGAGCGATGATAATGTAAAACCCCTTCAGATTCCAATAAGATCAATCTTCTAGAGTCAACGAGATGGCGACAGTTAGATAGCAAAGAAATAATGCAAGCGCGAGCTCGACGATGCGTCGGAGGATCGTGCAGCTCGACGGCAACTCATCTTTGCGTTAATGCAACAACAAATTGTTTGAATTGATCGCTTTCAATTGCCTGCAACGTGACGTCACCTTGCACAACGTAATCCACGACGGCGTTCTTGAACCCTTAGAGGACGAGCGCCGAGAACACAGACTTGCAGACGCTGCTCAACGTCACTTGGACCATACACTTGTCAGATGGTGTGAAAGACACGGTGTTGTTATCCGCGATGTTATGCAAGCGCAGTTGCATCTTTCATCCTAATGGAATTGTCTTGTGGGAGAACCACTTGCAGCACATCTTGCACTGGCGGTGTTGGCCGGGGTCGTCGCTCTCCCAGTCTTGGGTATACGTCCAAGAATAGGAATGTCACGCTCGTTTGTGCTTCAAGTTGACGACATGTTGCGCATCGTTGCTGCAAGGCACGGCCGCAAGGAGAGACTCATCGTTGCATAGCCCGTACTGCACTGGAGTCGTTGCGGCTACCAATGCTCATAATCTAAGTATAATTTAACCAAAAAAAGTTGGAAGTCAGACTCATGAGTCAACATTTACAGTCTTGATGTTGCTTGATGCAACCTTGACGTTCTAATTCAAAACGACTTTTGGAAATTAGAACTTAGTTGGAACTTGGAAGTCCGTCATGGACTTCTAAGCCGTGCCACAAACTCCATAGTGGACTTTTGTAATGGTCAAGGATCAATTAAGTGATGTATTCGATAATTTTTGGGCAACCGATTAATCCGTTTAGCTTTAACTTTACTCTATTCGTTATCTTACCTATAGCCCAATCTTTACATTTTA